AACTAGTAGATAAAGATAGTGATGGAGAGGTGAGAGATTACTCACTCTCAATAGATGCAAATCTGATGCAAAAAAGCTCATCTTTCAGTTCACCATCAGCAAAATCTGGTGCATGCCACACGCAGGACTTCTCATTTCCAGCATGTTCCTGAACCGTCATCGTTGGGAGAACTGGAGATCATGCGTCCAAAACATATACTCAGCAAGAAAAAATAAAACCCAAACTAATGAGAAGAGAAACTACATTTCAGATTACCCAAACAAATAAAAGTATAAAACTGATAACTTAATTACCAATACTTCCTATCGAGATTTAGGACAATAACAATGCCACAAACTAATTAGGTTCTGCTGTACAGATCTTCTATTTTAGTTGAACATGTTTCATTAGAATACTCAACTAGAGATTATTCCCTAAAATCACAATATACACATCTCTACACAACCATACAAATATCTAGCTCCTTAATCTTAACATTCTTATCTTACCTTTGACAAAATTCTCTAGCGGGAATTGACATGAAATAATGATATATTAAGAAGAGCCCAAAAATTAATTTTTCTTTTGAAATACAGACCAAAGTGGTTGGCGCAGATCTTAAGGGTTTTGGATTGGCGCATAACAAGGCGAACTTTGCCAGTTTCCTTATGCTTCAATAACTTCACAGTTCCAGCACCTCTCTCTTTCCACTGATTACCATCTTTATCAAACCTATAAAGCTTGGCTTTCCTGCAAATTTTATTCCAAGAAAATCATTTCCGAAATCACACAAGAAATTAACTGCATTTACACTCCTACTCCGAACCCACCATCTTTATTTGATGCCGAGAGCATTAAAAACGGAATATCAGAAAATATAGGTCATTAATTAACCCCGGAATTAGATCAATGGACAAGCAATGAACAGATTCACACAGAAAATTAACTGCATTGACACTCGTGCTCTGAAACCTCCATCGGAGGGAGTATTTAAACGATAGGGAGAGCACATACAACAACAGATTAAACAATTGGGTTATTTAGCGCATCTTGAGCTTACCGAGGACATGACCTTAGATAGGAGAGTGTGGAGGTAGCTTTTCTACAGGATAGGATTGGTGGTAGTAATTGAACCTTCTTTCTTACCCGTGACATTAGCACTTTTCTCGTCGTTTCTTGATTCTTTGATTCCGATGATTACCTATTTCTTTTGTGCTTCTGTAATCGCATTATTTTGTTGGCATTACTTTTTTCTGAGCTATATGTTGTGTGTTGCTCCCATTTCACATTATTTCGTTGTTGTTACTGCTCTCATTTCTGTATTCTCTTTTACAAACTGCTTGGAAAATGCTTTATTCAAATCTGAGGGTGAATCGAAAACAGCCTCTCTATATGTACCCTCCTCAGACCCGATTACACCAGGTATGTTGTTGGATTACTTAACTAACCATATAATCGGGAAACTAACATCAGTGACACTTGTAATCCATCATTATTTGAACAATTGGATTACTAACTTGAACTGTAACTGAAAATTATAGATTTGATCAATTAAACCCTATAACTAGATGAATTAAGAAGAAATAACCAGTAATATGAGAGGAGAAAGAGATTACAAATCAATGAGGGGATCTTCATTTTCCTCGCCAGTTGATACAGCAACTTCTTCGAGTCTGACAATTGGAGCCACCTGAGCTCCGGTATCTTCATCATCGGCTCCGGCAGCTTCTTCTTCCTCTTCCCGGTGCTCGTGCTTAGGCTCAGTGGTCGCCATTTGTAGTGTAATGAGGTTTGAATTAGAGTGGAAGAATATTGACGAACCAAAGGATGGATTATATACGAGTTTTTTTTTTTTTATAGGGTTTTCATGTTTGGCAGGATATATAAGAATAATGTCGAATAGAATGTGTTAATGATGAGGATGTATTGATTATTTTCTTATGGATTATTTGATTCGTTTTGGTAGAATATATAAAAATTATGTAGAATAAGATGTATTAATAATGCTGATATTAGTTATGCATTTATCATTTTTCTATATATTGTTTGAATTGTTGTATAAAAAATAATATGTATTGCATTATTTTATTTTATAAAAAAATTATTTATTTATAAAAAATACCCTTTATAAATACGATGTAAAGATGTAGATGGGTAATTGTGTCTTCGATGTACTAATGCATGTTTTGAAATACCTTACATTACTATAGTCATGAATTATTATGTATTAGTTGTACATACCTTAATACAAAATATAGTGTATAACTAATGCATAGGTTATACATAGATTGAATATGTATATAAAAAAAAACTAATAATACACAAAATTAATGTATGCATTATTACAAATTATTAGTTTTCTTGGTTCTAACCACTCTATCAAACGACTCATAAATAGTATCAAATTATTATTTTTCTTACCATGATGGCAGCATTTAGACCGACTTACATGACCAATTATTTCACTAAGTTTTTGCGCATATAGTTTGACTTTATTTTGGGTGAATTTTTTTTCGTCTTCAAACATGAGTCTTAATTTTTATTCTTGTTATTCATTTAATGAAAAATTTATCGATCAATATTTATGGCCTAATTTTGTTAGGCATATAAGTTTAGAAATTTTTGTTTCATCTGATATAAAAAATTAAGTTATGTGATATCAATTGTGTGGTATCTAATTTGATCCGTCAACATAAGTTATTGATATAATGTGTGAGTTTCACAAAATTAAGTTTTTGTCTTTCTCAACGTGCTTTTAGTAACTAAATTATGTTTTTTTACGGAATAATTTGTGGTCTTGATTGGTCTATGTTTTATAGGAATTAAGCAATATAACGTGTATATCTTTATAAATATAATTTGTGCTATATTTATTATTTATGCAGAGCGAAAATTATTTGTTATTTCAATGTATGAACATCTTTTGTCACTTGATTGGTATAAGTTCTATAAAAGTGTCGAAAAGTAAAAATTAAAATTCACTCCAAAATAGAAACATTTGTACTAATTACCCTGATTTCACGAGATACATAATATTTGCATTAAAATTTAAACCTTTAAACTCATGATTATTTTACACTTCATCAGTTATTAGGTCACACTTGATATTATTATTATATTATTAGACTTATTATTGTTATTATTGTTGTGACTATAATTTAATAAATATAATTTAATTACAAATGTAGAAATCGTATTAAAAGCAAATAAACCGAGAATAGTGGCGAAATCGCCTTTACGATGAGTATTAACTGAAACATTTTTTAGAAAAAATATACTATTGGTTGAATTCTCTTTATATATATTAACTTTCTTAATAAAAACTTTAATTTTGCCATTAATATGCTTAAAATTAACGTGCTCGACCAAATGGTTATGAACAAAAAAAACTTTGATATAAATATTAATGTAATTGAGATTTATAGAATTTAGGGATAAGGGTTTGAAAAATACCCCAACTTTGGTCGAATTTGTTGTTGCGATACTAAACTTTCATGAGGACCTATTACCTCTCTAGACTATTTAATACCGTATTTTTTATCCCCCGAACTATTTAATAGTGTATTTTAAAGGTATATATGTGCCCACTTGGACACATTACTATTTATAATTTTGCATTATTTTTTATGTTCACGTGGACAAATATATATGTTTAAAATACGGTATTAAATAGTTTAGGGAGGTAATAAGTCCTCATGAAAATTTAGTATCGCAACTGCAAATTCGATCAAAGTTAGGTATTTTTCAGACTTTTATCCCTAGAATTTATGAAATACTTATGTAGAAGAATAATTTTTTTATGGCCAAGTATATTGCGAGATATTTTTTCACGCCATATGTATTTCCCTCGTTGGCTTATTATTTTTATTGGAAACAACTTTTATACCTTACACAAAATAAAGATAAAATCGATATAAATTTCTCCTTCTCAAAAATGTATGTTATATTTATATTAGTTGTAAGTTTGTTCTATCCTTGAGAGTGACGAGGAATAACGGCAATCTATCTAAGTATTGATCAACTCTGCCCACCAATGTTGTTCTCCTACCAGGCTACCACCTCATTGACTTATTGTTTTTTTATTAAAAACAACTTTTATACTCTATCCTCCTCGAATCCCACTTGCCCCAATAACTCAACTTCTCAATGTTAGGGATCCAATGGGCGGTGCGGGGGATGCAAGGATGGTTGAGCTTAACAACTTTTGCATTTTCAATTCACCCCACCCCACCCTGCATAGACCCGCCCTGCATGATTTTTTTAATATATTTTTTTCTAGTTAAATTTGATACTAAAAATAAAATTCATAAAAATAAATTTCATTTTTTCATTAAGTTTTATTAATTTAATAGATAATAACTTAAAATTTTATTTTTTAGACGTTAATTAGGAAAACATGTAACAAATTGTATTATTTCAAAAAGAATGACATGGTTTCCTTTTTTGGCATCACTTTAACTTCAACTTTCCACGTAGAATGTTTAAGGCAACAAGATTAAAGGGTATTTTGATATATTTGACATAACTTTAATTTAGAACCACAAAATTAAGGTCTTCTTTCTTTTCTTAAACTCCGTTCCAAGTCAAACTAGGTCATTCTTTTTTAAACAAAGGGAATATTTTTTATTGAACGATTTTCATTTACTATCTTGAATATTTTAATAACTTTAAACAAATTATCTTAATAAATAATATTTTATCATTCTTATAACATGTAAAAAAATAAAATTAAGTTTGAACCCATATAAAATTATATATACCCACAACCCGCCACGCATTAACTTTTGAGAAACCCACTTCGACCCGCTCCGTATCCCTCCCACCCCCCATAACCTCAAATCCGCTCCGCATAGCCTTAAACCCACCCCGCCCCATTACCCTACTCAATGTTGACCACCTAGTGTTTCTTGCCTCTACAAAAACAATCACATGGTTATAAACTCCAACCTCCTCAAATCCACTTGTGAAACTACATTGAATATGTTGTATTTACTTATTGTTTTCTAAGGCGGCCTTTGCATAGTAGAAAAGTATGTTGTATTTACATTACTTGTATGCTTGAGTAATGAGGAATAACAACTTAGGTACCAAATAACTCTGCCCATCAAAGCTCTATTGCCTCCGCTGAAACAAGGGCATCGGTCTCATACCACTTCATTGACCGTCAAGTCACTGCCTTGAGCAACTCTCATCTATCCTAGTACAAAAGTAAAAAACATTTTCTTGAAGGTTTGGATCATAGAGCATTATAGCATTGGAAACCCCATTTAACATGACAAAAGTCTTAGGACAAAGGACAACAACAAACTACTGCTGCCCATTGTCCTTTCTTGTATATAGAGAAAGGCCGCAAGAAAGATCCAAAACCACCTCAGTAATCCCAACATCAAATATAACAATGAACCAAATAGTTCTTGGAATTGAAATCAAGATTCAGCAACATTTGGTTCGCCTTCCATAGGCTCAGCTTGAGATGATTCACCTTTCTTGCCTGCTAGTCAAAAGATCGCACTTGTTTCACGAAGAATTTAACACTACATTAATTCAGTTATTTTTCAAATGCTTTGTTTAACTTACCTTTCTTTTTCTTGCCGCCACCTTTCTTCTTGGTCTTTACGGGAAGAGCTAGCCAGGTCTTAATTTCAGGTTCATCTTCAATTGTCTTCGCAAGTGTCAGCTCCTGAAGAGCATGAGATGTGATCCTATCTGACCCATTAGGCATCAATAGCACTGTGAATTTTATGTGAGCAACCAAATCACCTGCATATCGTTATAAGAAAGAGTTCAAAATACAAGCTATATTATATGGAAAATGGCATTTGTGTGAGAATACAGAAAAATAATGACACTCCTTGAGCATGGTGTTTATGTTATGGAACAGGGCTAAACTAGTACGGACCAGGTTTCTCATGTAGAACAGGATACGGCTGCAAAAGATCATGGTTAACACATTCAACTAGTCCCAAACGAGCTCTTTTCTCCTCCAAATCCCTGTTCAAGTTACGCAGAACAAGGATACAATATTGATAATCATAAAACAAGTACATTTATTACACACATCGTTAATAAAGAAAACATTGAAAATCAAGATGACCTTGCTGTAAATGGCATGATAGGGAACTTCTGACTGATTTCACTGAAGATAAACCTTGATGCTTTCATCTTCAGGTTGTAGCTTTTATCTACAGCTCTCTTGTAGATGGTTGTTTGTTTCTCATCCAACAACTTTGGCTGCAAAATTTCGGATGGCACAAGAAAGTCAACATTTGTGACATTTTCAATTGATAAGTTTTGGTTTCCATGTAATTTCCAGGCATCAAAGTTTCAACATTTTACCTTTCCATCACCGGTGCTTGTAACAATGTCAATTGAATAGACCTCATTCTCCTCGAACTCTGCATCATCTACTCTGGTATCAGGATTAGACACACTTAACACAACTTTGTTTCCGTCAATCACAAACTGCTTCATTTGATGGCTCAAAACACCCTCAACGATCTTGCAGTCATATGCTGCAGCAACTTTCTGAATAGCTTCTGTTACATCTGAGTTCTGCAGCATCAAAGAAACTTAGCAACAAGCATTTAGAGCACTGGAAGTATGACACTAGTAGCGCTATAAGAGAACTATTGGGATGAACTGTCAAAACAACTAGGTATAAGATGAAAGGCATGCTATCATTAATCCTGAACATCAATCCACCACCTATTTAGTATTTTCAAAACACTCAAACAGGACCAAGGCATAAACACATAACTCACACGAGCAGACTGAGGCAACTAGGAATAGGCGATAACAGCAAAAGACATTTAACTTCTAACTCGTAAGATGGGGAACTTCTCTCCTATAAATCTTCTTTGCAACCCTAGACCTCTTCTAACTAAAACCTTTACTAAACCAACTATACAAGTCCAAATCTTGCGTAAAAGTTTGCTAATAAAATATTAAGTATAATCTTCCTCTGTGAATATTATGCCTCATATGTTACTGTGCAAAGCAGTGTGGCACCCAAAGCTTCCAAATCCCGGATCTGCCACTAACTTGAAGTATAGGAATTGGGAAAATTGTTAGTTTGTTGGCAATGACTATATGAGAAGTATGATTCATTATAAGTAAATTGACGGAGCATATTTGAAGTAGTAATGGAGTTGAAACATACCTACGAGGATGAGATTTCTCACAACATTAGAAATTAAGAACCTTGAGAATATTGGGTTGTTTTAGCAAAAAGTTGAACTTGGCGAAATTGAATTTTCTGGAGAGTAAGATAAGTATTGATTTCATTATTTGATGTAAATTCAGTTACTAGTTGTTGTTGGCAAGCATACAAGTTGCCCTTTCTAGGAAGAAAGAATTTTTGAGTGAGTTAAGACTTGGTTCATACTAAAGCTCTTTTCTTACGAAGTCATAACCATAAAGTGTTTGATTAAATGTTCCTTAAGGTTAGTGTGAGTTTAATTGGAATGAGTGAGCTCACACAGCTTATCATTGGATGAGTCTATCAAGTGCTCTATGTTTACTTCCTTTGTTTATCCACGTGACCAAGCCATAATGTAACCTTATTCGCTAGACTAATACAGTACTTAATTTTGGATGCATAATGTGAACTAGCTAAACCCTTCATGTTGACCAGTGATTCATTAACCTGTTTACAACTGACTAATAAGGAGTAATAAAACCAACACAATAGTACTTCTGTGATTCTAAATCCTAAATTACGTAATGTAACTATAAAAATGTGTGGTTGCTATGATTATGATAAGTTAAAATGTTGAAACTTCAATGCATACTTAAATAAATGGTAAACTGTATAAAGGATTACGAGTAACCATATAAGGGTTACTAATTTTGTCATAATGAGGCACAACATAAATAGTAACCATGCAAAGGGTTACTAACGTTCCCGCAATGAGACATAACATGAATTAACGAATAGTGAACAAATAAAGGGTCACAAGCAGCCATACAAAGGGTTGCTAATATAGCTGTAACAAGGCACAAAAGATTCAGTGTCATATAAAGGGCCACAAATAACCGTATAAAGGGTTACTAATGGGGCACAAGAAAAGTTCAGTCAACCGAAGCAACTTCAAAGAAAGAGAAAAGTATGAACTAATTAAGCTACAAGTTTTAGTGATTGGTTTCCTGTTTCACGTGGTACAATACTTTAGGATGAATTATGACTTGCTTCCTCTCTTATCCCTTCATTACGTGTTTTTATTCAAGATCGCATTGTAACTTTAGTAAGGAGAATGTTAAGACTCATCAAGTACTACTAACAATATACTAACATTCTCTTTATGGATCAATATACTAACATTCTCTTTATGGATCCTACACTGACCCAGGTTTCATAGACGAGCAGACTACGAGTTAATCTATGACATTTATCCACTATTTGTTTTGGGGATTAGCCAGATAATCTGTATTTTGTGCACTCCCCTTAGTACTCCAGTAGAGGCTTCATAGACGTGTTTTCAATACTTTCTAGTTGTTCACAGATTTCAATATATTTTTTGGATTATTTAAGAGTTGTTGCAGCAAAGTTTTTTTTATCTAAATGTTCAAGTCATTATTTCTTTTTACAGGCACTAGGGGTTATGTACTGGTTAGCAGGAAATGGATCATCATCGACGTATCATTTTGCTGTACCTACCTTTCGGAAAAATAGAGGAAACTATTTTATAGTCACAGAGAAATCGTCAACTTGGATCTCAAGCTTAGGCCATCAGTAAGCCGTATCTGTGGTTCATTCATATGACCATATTCATACAAATTGGTAATACAATGCCCTTACCCACATATTCACCACATTCCTTCTATGTAATCAAACCCACCTAAAACAAATTTTCTCATACCCAAAACTCTTCGATGTACAACTTGAAAATCCATCATTTCAAAAGACAAATTAAGCTTATCACTTTAGAACAATAGATAAAACAATATTTTCAGGCAAAACACAGAACTAATCTTTAGCAACCAAGACTTGACCGGCATTGACACTTGTGGTCTGTGCAAAGCAATGATAATTGTTATTGAGAACCATCCTATCCATGTAAGTGGTAGACTAGTGGTGGCTGAAGTTTGAAAAGCGCAACTTGACGCAGGATAACTTCTCCCAATATACTTCATTACATAACATCTTATATCCTACCATGCCAGAATAAACAAAATTTAGATTAAACATTACCTTCCTTCCTGGTCTTACAAGCCTCAGAGCAACTTCAGCAGCTGTATTAGCAGCCGCAAGAACATCAGCAGCTCTACCAGTAACAGGTCCTCCCTGGACCACATGTGTATGAGCAACAACAGCAATAAAGCCATCTATATGACACCCCATATCACTGCAAAAAAGTAAACCATGACTTACTCGTACAAAAGCTTATCTGATTCTACAATACAATTGGGAGAACAAAAATAGCTACAGGATAAACAGTTCTTCAATTTTGAACTCAGTCAAATTTCAAACTTCTCTTTCCTACCACGCACAAGTCACAACCATGGCAAGAGATTAAATCACCTTAAAGTGCTCTAAACTATTTCTTACATTTTCACCATATCACCTTCTTCCAATATTGTCTCATCACTAGACAGTGGAGAAAAATGGCAGACGGTATTGTTAACTGAAATGCAGGTTGGGAATGCCACACCTCTCTCGATTTTCTTCTTCACATTCTTGTACATATTCCCTGTTTGCCTGTACCAGAATTCACACATTAAATCAACAGCTCGACATCACATACGTCACACGCAATTCTGAAATAAAAGATCTGTTAAGAAGACATCAAAACAAGCAAAGTTCATACTCTTTGATAAAGGCATCTCCTTTTTCACAAAGATCAACTATCTTTGCTTTTGGCTTGCATTCAGACACCACCAACTGCAGAGCCTCTGCATAATATCATATCGTTATTAATCGAAAACATTCTACGTATCTTTAATAAACTAAAGACCACGAAATTCAAAAATCTTTCCAACTTTCTTAAACTCCATGCCAAGTCAAAACAGACAAACAAATTGAAATGCATGGAGTACAAAAGCTCCAAACATCAGTAGTAAATTTTCAGTTATCAGATAACCCCATTTTCAGGGGAACACTTTACAATCCAAAAAATCAAAAGGGGTATCCAAAAAACATGTAAAGATTCTATTTTTAACACAAAAAAAGAAGCAGAAAATGACAGAAACGAAAAGGGGTTATAGAATATTAACTGTTGACGATTTCAGCAGCACCCTTATACTTAGTAACAACCTCAGAACTTGTCAGATCCAACTCCTTCTCTTCTCTCTCATCATCCGACATAGTTATCAAATGGTTCAAGTTTTACACAGCTGAAAACACAGAAAAAAAAAACAAGAAAGAAACGTTACAAAGAGTGAAAAGGGTGACTGAAAAAGCAATGAAATTACACATACACTTTGATTTCTTGATTGAAGGAAATGGAGGCGAAAAGGGTTGAGCTAGGGTTTGGACTGTGTTTTTTTTGAGTTGGGAAATTTTATGGAGAGACAGTGACAACGTGGTGATTACGTGGCATTAAGTGGGTTCCACTAAGAAGATATTGATATGGTGACGTGGATCATAATGTGTCAATATTAGGGGGTGTTTTAAGGTTACAACAATTTTATTATTCCTATACACATGTTTTGTTTGTAGCCCTTTTGCTTCTTGGATTGAAATCTAAGTGAGTGTATTTATTTTTCGTCCTTGACCAAAAGGTTTTGGGTTTGAGTCCCCTTGAATATAGAGTCGCCTTTGTTAGGAGCACTTTAACCCTTAATATGGAATTTTTCGACACGAATCTGAATTTAGTCGGACTCTAATGTAGATTCCGAACATCGGATTGGAAACAAAAAAAAAAGAGTGTATTTTTTTTTTTTTGGTATATATATATTAAAGTAGTGCATTCCCTACTTGTTTGGATGGTGGTTACCTATCATATTGTTATTTTAAATAAAAACAATATGTGTTTTGATTATTACTCAAATTTTATTATTATAATAGTTAAGTTTGTTATTTGTAAGGATGAAAAGTTTTATTTTTATCTTGTTTGGATGGTTGTTACCCAATACAAGTATTGTGTGGTACGTTTAAATATAATATTTGTTGTTAAATACCAATGAAAAATTACACATTATGTTACGATTGATTTGGTGTGATCACATTTTACCTTAATTTTTTCTTCTTATTTTGTCTTTACATATTATTTAATAATGCTATTTTATCTTTCATCTTACTATTTTATAAAAGTTCTACATCATAGCCTACTTTTCTTTAGGTTTATATATCCTTTGAATTGTTGATATGCGAAATAATGTAACGACGGAGAATGATACAATCTATTTAAATGTTATATTCATTAAATAATATAGTACGATACAATACAATATGAAACACTATGAAATAATATGTAACAACCATCCAAACATAATATTCATGTAATGATCGAGTTTGGTGTGATTCGTCGTAATTTTTTTTTAATTTCTGCTTCTATCATTGTTATTATCTTATAATTTTATTTCTATTCTTTACCTTGCATTTTTATAATATTTATACTATATACCCTATTTTTCTTTTAATTTTATTCTTCAAGTTGATGATGTTTAACAATTATATAACGACGAAAAGTTGTTGGAGAGGGTGTTTTGAATATGAATTTTGAACTTGTTTTGACAATTAATTAACAAAGTAACTATGTGAATTAGCCTCACCTAATGGTGTGTTCGCATATGTGTATAACCATTTTCCTCATATAGCAAACAAAAAGTAGCGCGTTATACATATTCCATCGATCATAATGACTTTTGAGTCTTATTCGTTATTGGAATTTATATAGCATATACTAAATAAGTGAGCTATATGTAATTTTTGTCAATTTTATTTTTGTACGTCATTTCAATCACTTTATGTTTTTTAGTCAATTATTTAGATTCTAAACTCACTAATTCTAAAATATAGGGAATGAGCAAATCCACATCATAACGCATAAAACTGGTTCACTAGTTTAGAGAAATTGTGATTGAGTTTGCAAGTGTTTTTACTATCTTGTTATTCTCAATGAAGTTGTGTATAATAATTGGAATATGTATAGCAGAGGTGTGCATCGATTGGTTCGATTTAATTTTATGTATTATTAATTTGATTTATTGACTTTTAATTTTTATAACAATTTAATTTTTGATTTAATCAATAAAAAATGCTCGTAAAATAAATATATAACAAATCATGTGAAATCAAATTAACTATAAAAGAATTGAATGACGGTGCAAAGAAAGACAATGGTCTTTTCCAAGGAATGGACAAAAGGTTATTAGACAAAATGTGAAACCAAATTAACTATAAAAAATTGAATGATGGTGCAAAGAAAGACAATGGTCTTTTTCAAGGAATGGACAAAAGGTTATTAGACAAAACATGAGATGTTAGTGATAAAATTAGATGACAAATCATGTGAAACCAATTCATGCATCTTCCTTTGAATAGAGTATTGTATAATTCTAGCTTTACAACCATCAAATATCTTAGTGATATGGTTGAAATTCATTTATTGTTAATCAGAAGTCTTGAGTTTAAATCATAGAAATAGAGATAATTTTTTGAGTAGAAAAAATATTTTATTTCCTTACTAGGCCTATTCGGTACAAATTCGGATTAATCAAGTCAATGAGTTTCAGTTATTGAATGTATACAATAACGACAACACTTCAATCCAAAACACGTTAGAGTCACCTATCATCAACAATCATATTTTTCCATTAATTTTTTTTTTAGATGCATGAATGTCTAATAAGTCTAGAAAAGAAAAGAACAAAAGAATTCCTACTTAATGAAAAGTACACCTCATGAAATGCTCACAAAATATAATAATATGTAGACAAAAGACTTGTGAAGAAAATCCATAAAAAAATATAATTTGTCAGTGGTTACATCTCTTTTCTTGTAAAATAATAGTAAGATGAACTGAATTTAGTAGTCGTATAACAAAAGAATAAAGCATAGAATATACATAATTAAGAATTGATTACTAATTCACTATACTAATTAGTGCACTAATATGTTGAAGATGTATAAGAGTGAGACAAAATATAGAGAATCGTATAATAATGCACAAATAATTGGAAGTATAATTCACCAAATAGGATACAACAGTTGAAGGTTCCAAATAGCCCGATCCCCCCACCAACCAAATCTCTTCTTTATCTTCTTTAAATAACAATCTATTAGCGCTCTCGGTTCGAATCTTGAGTATAAAAAAAATATTAGTAGCCCTTGAATGGGACCTTATACGGCATAAGTACAAAATAGTGAGTAAATATCTCAAAAGATCACTGACTCAAGTATGTAAAGTTATTTGAGAAAGTCACTGAACTTGATTTTATATCAATAAAGTCACTCAACTTATGGATTTTCTTTTATAAAGTCACTCAACTTAAACTATTTTTCTAAAAAATCATTATAACCAAAAGATTAAAAAAATTAATTGCACAAACTATCCTTCAAGTTTAGTTTTGTAATACTTATTTCCATTGTAGTTTATAATATTATGCTTATCTCTTATTTTATTTTATTTTATTTTTAATACTTATCTTAACTTAATTAATATCAACTCAATTGTCCAAGCATTAAGCATTAATGCAACTTGGCTTAGGTTTCATGATATTCTACCATAATTTATACCCATTAACATATCCACTTAATATTTTATTTTGATAATAAAATATATGTACATGAACACTTCAAAATTAGTCTGGACAAATCCAAATTCGATGACTCCAAAGCTGAATCATCCCCTCCCACCCCAACTGGAATTGGACATGGATGAGGCTGAGATCCCCCCCACCCCACACAAATTATTCCCTCTTTTTCTTCCTTGGTTAACCTGAGAAGATGTTTTCTTAATTAAGAAAAAAGAACCATTTCTTTTTTCCCCACCTTGCATAAGTTTTCAAAAAATTATTTCATCTAAATATTGGATACTAGTTTTTGAATATCCCTTCCGTAGTTCTGTTACTGTGGTTTTTTGATAAATTGAATAAAAGATGTTATAAAATCATTTAAATTAAACAATATATAATAAAGGGAAATTTAGTTAAATCATAAATTTTTATGTTAATAATAATTAGGCTAAGAAAATAATTATTAAAAATAAAATAAAATAAGAGAAATAAACATAATATTATAAACTTTAAGGGAAGTAAGTATTACAAAACTAAACTTGAAGAGTAGTTTGTGCAATTATCTCTTTATCTTTTGGTTATAATGATTTTCTAGAAAAATAATTTAACTTGAGTGATTTTTTAAAAGAAAATTCATAAGTTTAGTGACTTAAATAGTTGAGCTCCAATGCGGATATTAATGGAAATTTTTTTTAGTAAAGCTCCAATCATTGAATTTTTAAGCCTCTCGAACCAGAACTCAAAACAGTGAAATTCAAATGAAAAGGAAAACAAGAAACAAGAAAAATTATTTATAACCAGATACAAAAACTGGGAAATTCATATAGACGCCCGCGTCTTAGTTTGGATCTCATGAGTAAACTATTGAGTCATAGAAGCAATTTGCTATACAGGGTAAAATGTTAAAAGAGCTATACATTATCTTATCAATTCAACAGTTTCTACACATTCACCAAAATTGTTGCAGTTGAATTATCATCACACATATATCATCAACAGAACCTTGTGAAACAGCAAGATCGATAAGCTTTTTAGAGGCCAATAATGGTTGTGGCTTACTGATGCCTGTGCAACACAAAGGCCTAGCAGCATCAACTACTTCCTGGTTGCTGACTTTATCCCATAAACCATCAGATGCAAGGACTAAGAACTCCAATTCAGGATTAAGTTCAACGACTCTAGTCTCAGGTTCTGCGATTACCCATTGTTTAAGATAACGATCTCCTATACCTCTCGACACAGCAAGAGATCCCTGGATCCTCCAAACACCATTAGAACAATCTACATAGCCACCCTACACAACAATAAAGCATCATACGATTAGTAACCTGAAAAATAAGACTGATAAGTAGTGATCCATATAGTTGCTCACCGAACTCTCAATTCTATCTTTCTCGTCTTTTCTTGAAGGCTTGTGATCTGAAGTGAGTGCTTCAGCAATCCCACCTCTGCTAACAACAGCGCGACAATCACCAGCATTAGATACTACTAAATCACCATTTCTGATCAATGCTGTTACGCAGCACGATCCACCCCTAAATTCTTCACTGAGGAATTCGGTATCTGTCTTTAAATAGCCATTTCTGAGCGCCTCCACAACATCTTCATCATTCCTCCTTACTAATTCATCCATAATGTTCTTATTCAAGTGCTCTGCTGCAAACTCAGCAGCTTTAGGTCCTCCATGTCCATCAAATACACCAAAAATACCCTGAAACAAGTAATCCCTTTGTCAATTTCAACCATTCACAAATAGCATAGTAAACTAAGATAAAAGCAGCCCGATGCACTAAGTTCTCTCTATACACTAGATCACACGAATTTATTGT